GTGCAGTGCTCCTGTGTGGCGACTGAAGTGCACAGTGTGCAGCCATTAAAGCCCCTGTTCTCTCATCTCTGTATTTCTTCTATTATCTATAGTTTTTGTGATGTTTTTACTGTGAACTGGCAGAGACAGAATGATATTGGTCTTTCCTGTTTTTCCTGCATTAACGTTAGTTCAGTTGGAGTTGGGTGGGACAAATTTGGCAAAGGAGACGTGAGATCTGCCAATGTATCAATCAGACTTAGTAATATGCATACAACAGCTACTCGCGTTCCTCTCCCTTGCATAAAGTGACTGATCTCCCCTTCTCCGAGTCCCAGACAGAACTCCAGCAAATAGGTAATTTACAAACACACACACACACACACGCATCATCTAAACCGCTTATCCTTCTGGGTTGCGCTGGGACGCTGGAGCCTATCCCAGCTGCCAAATAGGTAATTTAAGTTTTTCTAAATTTAACAGTGCTGATGAAAGCGAGGGTGAAGGTTTATTACAGTTAATTGTAATGTATATTTACATTTTACATTTATATTTGCAGCATTTAGCAGACGTTCTTATCCAGAGCGACTTACAAAAAGTGCTTTGTTGTCTACCTACACTGTTAGAAATAAAGGTTCTGTGCTGGTACATTTTTTGTTCATCAAGGTACAAACAATGTAAATGTTCCCTCAAAGGTACAACAGTGGTTTTAGGGTCCAGTTGTGCACCTTCAATAAGTTTTTCCAGGTGTAAAAGTACATATTGTGCCTGTTCACAACCTAATGTTTTAAAACAGAACAGTAAAATAAAGTCCTGGAGACGAGACGGGGTGTGTGGAGTCAGTACAGCTTAGAAAATATCATTTCAGTGGATTATGGTACAGTTATGTTCCCTGACTAAAGGTACTGAGATGTACCCTTGAGGGTCCCACCCCAGTGACAAGAGGGGCACTGCCCCAGTGACAGTTTCGTACCTTATTTCTGAGAGTGTAGAGTAACCAATTTTGGTTACCCCAAGAAAAGATAAAGAAACATTTTTGTAAATGAGATGTGTGAGTTGTATGAAGAACCTTTTTTAAAGTTTTAAGAAACTCTAGACCAACAAAAAGGGTTTCTCCATTGTTACAAGCTTGACATCGTAACAATAGCAGAACCCTTTTTGGTGCCATATAGAAAATCTGTCATATAAAACCATATACAACACATTCTCTATCAATCTGAAGAATCATTTCTCGATGCAAAGAATCCTTTAATCATGGGTTCTATACAGCACCAAAAAGGGTTCTTATGTTGTTATGGCGTCAAGCTTGTGCCAAGAGACAGAGCCATTTTTAGTGCTATATAGAACCCTTTTCAAAAAGGTTCTATAAAGAAACATATACAACACATTCTCCATCAATCTGAAGAACCACTTCACAAGGCAAAGAACTCTTTAATCATGCAAAGGGTTCTTTGAGTGTTTATGGTTCTATATTGAACCATTGAAGAACCTTCTTTTTTAAGAGTACATGTCACAACTAGTTTGGATACATTTTCTCATATATTTTCAATTTGTTTGTAAAAATGGGAACTTTACAGGAGAAGGAAAAAAACTTTTAATGTAAGTCAATGGAACCAGACATTTTTCCAAGTCATTTTGGTCCATTCTCATAAAATTTACACACAATATAAAGGGAAACAGGCATTTTGAATTATATCAAAAACTGAAAAACAACAAAAATGGAGATACAAGGTTTTCTTCCGACAGCAGCGATATGTAATGTAACAGAGCAAAGCAGCGTGTGGTCATAGGCAGTGGGGCTGCACAATATATTATTTGTTTACTGTTATTGTGACACTGGACTTTGAGGACTGATTTCACAGTAGATCACAATATGCAAATGAGCCCTCTAACCAATCACAGTGCTTCTTTTACTGTGTGCTGTGAGCATTCTGACCAGTCACAGCTTCAGACGAGTGTTTCTGTGGGTGTTTTGAGGAATCTGCGTATTCCAACAATCCTACATAATTTTTGTCATTAGCCTTGTCAAATTATTGATTTATACTAATCAATATACTGATCACAATACTAGTTTGTCTATATCATGCAGCCTTAATAGGCAGTTCTGCTCAGCACTTGTAACAAAGAATAGAACGCTGCACAGTGTGCTCTAAACCCGCCAATCAATATGGAGGCCTGCCGATGATCGGCTGCAGAGTTCCTGTGGAGAAAGAGGAGGTCAAAGGGGGGGGAGAGTGAAGCACAGCAGGTCAGCACACAGACCCAGTCAGTAAGAAAAGATATAGATCTGTTCTGTTGGTCTTCTGATGATGTGCATGTTTATGATGTTTGTGAACACAGGATCAGTGAACTTTTCCTGCACACTTTAGCGCACAATTTCTATTTATTTATTTATTTATAGAGTTTATTATATTGGAACAAAACATAAATATACAATGGGTCATAACTTTTGCAAAGGCAACATTTATGGTTTTATTTTTTTCCCAGTATGTCAAATTCAGCAAATAAACAGTAAACGTACATTCAAATGTGCAGACATGTGTTCTCTATAGCGGATGTGTTAAAGTGCCAGAAAACAGAAAGTAAAATATTAAAAATGTTTGTATGATATTAAACCTGAGTGTTATTTTAACACACAGCAAAGCTGGAATGAAAAATGTAAGATATAAATATCATAAAACAAAGCTTATAAACTGCTGATCAGACCTATCTGAGAACTGTGTGGGCGTGGCTAATGAGCACCTTGATTGACAGCTCTCTTTCTAATATTCATGCTCCGCCTCTCATACAGAACTAAAAAATAATTTTCCAGCCTTTATGCGACGTTAACTGGACGAAAAATGTCACGGACAACAAACGAATGGATGAAGCAAGGCGTGAATGAATGAATGGATGAATGAACAGTGTTGGTGTTGGATAAACGAAAGAATGGGCGACAGGCAGCTACAGACAGGTGGTCTAGCTTACTAGCTTTTGGTTATGCTGGGTTAACCTTAGCTCGCTAAGATTCTCTGACTCTGACACTGTGGGCGGGGCAAGAGACGTCAGCCTGTGATTGGTCAGAGGAATGATTATGGAAGTGTTACCCAAGATTAGAACCACCCAGTTTACATTGAGAAAAATATGGTGAAATATACTGGTAGTGTATTGGAGATTGGAACATTATTCAACGTGTATACTTGGTACATGTTTACTGTTTGCCTGCGAGAACAAGATGAACATAATTAGAAAGAAAACACAGATTTTTGTACCCGGGGTCTTTAACTTATTTTCACTTAGAAAATCGAGAGAATGTGTCATTTAACGGGGAAGTTCAAACTTTTACATACACTGTAAGATTACTACAACTAAAAAAACCTGAAACCCATTAAAAAATTACTTCAAAACCACTTTTTGTGAAACTAAACTCAATTGAATTTCACATGGAAAATAATATAGCAACATCAAAACAAAACTATTACAGCTTTGCTATAAAAACACCCTTCAAATGTGAGATCTGAACAGTTTACTGCAGGTTCTGACCTAAAGCACCCAAAGTACCAAACTTGGACAATTTACCTTAACCACCTGAAGACTGTAGAGGAGACAGGAAGAGCTATGAAAGGCGCCCTGACGGACCCATAAGCACTTCTGAAATTGCCAAACAGCAGGTTATTTCATTCATGCAGTAAATAGTCTCTTCAAAAACGAGCTTAAAAGCAGTTTCAGAAACATTTCAGTAGAAGTCAGTGGGGATTCAGCGCTGCTCTCACCAGTTCTTGCTTCACGATGACCCGTTCTGCACACCACAGTAACTCACCTGTATATCACCGTCTCCTCTGGGAATATAATGTGAATTAGAAATACTCTTCATTTTCAGTGATCATGCAGAACATGGCAAAATACATATGAAGACCATACAGCCTTGTGTATACTTCTGCTTCTGTTTTGAGCTGTGACTAAATGTATTTTGTCATCTTTATCAAGAAGAATCAATCAGTGGAAAACCTTAAAATGTTTAAAATGTTTGTGTTCATTGCAGTTGATGCCCGAGATTATTTTGTAGATTTTTCTACCATCACCTGTCAAACAAGTGTAATCAGTCTATATACGCTCTGGTGGTTTGGTGTGAAGTGCTCTGTTGTAGAGAAACTTACCGAATCAGACTTGTTCACAGTGGTGGTGATAGGAACCAGACGTCCACCTCAAAAAGCTCCCTCACAGACAGTTAATACAAAAAACATACTGCTTTGTGAGAAAGTTTTAGTCTACAACATATTTTAATCAATTTATTTAATCCATTATTGGTGGAGGGACACAAGACGGGTTTTCTAAGGCAAAACAGTCCCCAAAGAAAACTTATTTTTTCAGACTGACCAGTATTTTACCATCATCAACATTACATAAGTAAACTGAGAATGTTCACTGATGGTTTTGGGTAGTAAATAAAATGGCTATATTTGTGTTGTAGACATGGTGACCCCTGGTTCCCATCACCACCACTGTGAAGAAGTCTGAGTCTGTGAGTTTCTCTGCAATGAAGCATTTCACATCAAACCATCTCTGAATGACTCTGTTTACATCTCAACCACTGAATTGTGCACAAATTTTGAAAAATCGGTGGAATCCCCCTTTAAAGGCCATACAATGAAGATGTTTTTATATGGCTGCTTCCATCCACGTCAGGTAGGCGGGGAGCGATAAAAGGCAGCAGGTCGATGCGACTGTGAGGGGCTTCAGCTGCCACACGGTGGAGCACTGACTAAACTTCCAGAACTTCCAGTCAGCACCGCACTTTATCCCCATCTGTATGCTAATAAACTTCATTTAGTGACAAACTGGGTGTAAAACTAAGACTAAGATGGACATTTAACATGATTTAAAGATTGTTTCCTCTAGAAAAAGTAAAACTCTAAGGCAGGTTATGTAGCAAAACCGGAAACTTCACCACAGACACAGTAAAAAAGTTAGAAAAGTGGTTCTTTTTCAGTGAAAAACAGCAGCAAACTCCACAAACCGGACTAAACTCGGGGCCCACGGCGATGCTCGTGTCCAACGCGAGCTTGAGCTGCGCGGGCTGCTCCGCCGGCGGCGGCGGCAGTGACGGGAGCGCCGGGCGGCTCGGGGGCCCCGCGGCGCCGCCCCACAACCTCAGCCCCACCGGCCACCTGGTGGTCGCCGTGTGCCTCGGCTTCATCGGCACCTTCGGCTTCGTGAACAACGCGCTCGTCCTCGTGCTCTTCTGCCGCTACCGGCTGCTGCGCTCGCCTATCAACTGTCTCCTCGTGAGCATCTCCGTCAGCGACCTGCTGGTGTGCGTGCTCGGGACGCCGTTCAGCTTCGCCGCCAGCACGCGCGGACGCTGGCTGATCGGCGGCGCGGGCTGCGTGTGGTACGGCTTCGTCAACTCCTTCTTGGGTGAGTTATCACGGTTATCGCTGAGCTCAGCCCAGTTCTGCTGTGCTGTTCTGGGTTTTTAAGCTTTGGTCCTTTTATTTGGAAACACTTTCAAGCTGGACCTTTGACTTATTTCCATTCATGTCATTTCGTTTTTGAAGTTTCCCTATTCGCCAGCTTCTCGTTCGAATTTCCCCGTTCCACCTTAAATGGTGCAGTAGTAACATTCTGACTGCACCATTTAAGGTGGAACGGAAAAATTTGAATAAGGAACTGTCGAATGAGACTTCAGCTTCGTGTCGTTTAGGTCGTTTTCCTGCTTTGAAACTTTCTATTAGCCTAACTTAAGTAGTTTGTAGAGGCTGCTGCTTTATAACCGCCTACGAGGCTATTTTAGGCTTTTATTCCTTAAAACGTGTTTTTTTCCCAAGGCAAAACACTTCTTATTTTCAATTTCCGTTCCACCTTAAATGGTCGCGCTACAGCAGTTTAATTCTGTCGCCTGTGCTCGCTCTACAATGTAACTGCTGCACCATTTAAGGTGGAACGGTCAAATTCTGAAAAGGAGCTGGCGAATAAGACGCTGACTTCAGCTTCGCTTCTGTACATTTGTTTTGCTGCGACTGCTCACCTGAAAAATGTCGTTTGTTGTTTGTAAGTTTCTCTCTGGATTTAATATCTAACGGAGCTTAAGCTCGTGTTTACTCTTATTTAGCCTCCTCGCCTCAGCAGCTTCTGAAGAAAGCGTTTCTTTTTACGTTTCGGACTTACTGCACTCTTCAAAAAGATGGTTTATTAAGGGTCCTTTAGTAAAGAGAATATATATATAGATAGAGATAGATAGGTTCTGTATAGATATTTGCATGCATTAAGGTTATTTGTATGATGAAATTGATCTTTTGATTGATTGAGAATGTGTTATGTTTGGTTCTATATACATTTAATTCATGCTTAGTGGTTCTGTATTGCGCCACAACGGGTTCTGCTATTGTTACAAGCTTCAGATCTTAACAATAGAAGATGTAAAGCTTGTAACAATGGCACAACCCGTTTTGGTGCTATAGAGAGCCATTAAGCATTACAGCCATTCCAGAAAGAACCATATGCATGTATAGAACCATATGCAACACATTCTCCATCAATCTGAAGAACTATTTCTTCATGCAGAGAACCATGTAAGCATGCAAATGGTTCTTTGAGTGTTTATAGTTCTATATAGAACCATTTTCTTTACTAAAGATCCCTTGCAACCTAAGAACCCTTTGCTTGTTTAAATGGTTCCTCTATATGACGGAAAAAAAAGTTCTGCTATTGTTATGATGTCTAGTCTGTAACAATAGAAGAACCCTTTTTGGTGCTATATAGAACCATTTTCAAAAAGGTTCTATGTAGAACCATATACAGCACATTTTACATCAATCTGAAGAATCAATTTCTCCATGCAAAGAACCATGTAAGCGTGCAAATCGTTCTTTGAGTGTTCATGGTTCTATATTGAATCATTGTCTTTTTAAAGAACCTTGAAGAACCATCTTTGTGGTAGTGTGGTAAAAGAACTCCTTTTCTGAGTGAGTGTTTTTTGCCACAGTGTATGTGAGGTAACTGAAGTTTTAATTCAGCCTCGCCTCAAACATGTTTCAGTTTTGTATCTTCATTCAGCTAATCATGCCTGAAAAATGAAAAAAGTTCTCTCAAGCTGAACTTATATGTTATGATATTTCCGTTGATTAAAGTGTTGGGGGTGTTCAAAGTGCACTACGGAGGTCTTACAGAGCACAGTGAGGGTCCTGGCATGTTTCATTCCACGGAGGCTGGTGGAGAGGAGAGGATGGTGATGGTGAGCACCTGTATGGTTTGACTGACCAGAAATGTTTAACATGACTTGAAATGCTACATTCTTAAAAGGGATGGTTCTTCAAGGGTTCTAAATATGTATATAACCATGAACATTTTGCATGCTCAAAGGGTTCTTTCCATCATGAAAGCATTCTCCAAATTGATGGAGAATGTGCTGTAGATGGTTCTATATGGAATCTTTTTATAAATAGCTCTATATAGCACCCAAAAGGGTTTTTCTGTTGTTACAATGTCAAGCTACTGTCAAGTCAATGTAACAATAGAATAATGCTTTTGGGTGCTATTTAAAACCCTTTTCAAAAAGGTTCTACATAGAATCATCTGTGGCACATTCGTGCACACTTCTGAAGAACACTTTCATAATGCAAAGAACCCTTTTATCATGCCAAAGGTTCTTGAGTGTCCATGGTTCTATATAGAGCCGCTTTCTTTTTCTTAAAGAACCCTTGAGGAACCATCTTTTTTAGGAGTGTACACTCTTCAAAAAAATAGTTCTTCAAGGGTTCTTTATTAAAGACAGTAGTTCTGCATAGGACCATGAGCACTCAAAGAACCATTTGAATGCTGAAATTGTTCTTTGAAATAGTTATTCAGATTGATGGAGAGTGTGTTGTGTACGGTTCTACATTGGTACAATAGCAGTGCATCATAAACTCATTCTTAGGCAGATGCGGGTGACCTTATCTCGATAGGGCTGAATTCAGGTAGACTGACTCGATGAGTTACCTACCTACTAATAGGCTACCAAAGTGTGGAAGTACACGTTGAGCGCGTTTACATGCACTTAATAATCCGATACCTGCAGAAAATCAGATTTTGTCAGTAATCCGATCAACGTGTTTATATGCACTTGAGTAATCAGATAATGGGGAAACTCCGGGTCTACACGAGTCAGACAGTAATCAGTTTTCTGCTTTACAACCAGCCAATAAACTCACAGAAGAAGACGTGACGTAAACGTAACGTAAAACTTTTCATGCTGTGGCTTTTTTTTAGAACATCGCGCCACTTTACCTAAAAATATGAACATACATCATCTAGAAGACATCATTTTGTGAAGCATATGTTTGGTTTCAGAGTCGCTCCAAAGTGTTTTGCTGCATCTTGCAGCGACGCTGCTCGCTTATTTCTGAGACGGCAGTCTTTATCGCACATGTGCAGACTGAGAAATCCGAAAGAAATCAGAGTAAGAGTTCACATGCACTGAGAAATCTGATTACCGAGCTAAAATTCAGCTCTCTTTATCAGCTTTCTTAATCTGATTTCTAGACCTTACTCTGATCTAAGAAATCAGAGTATTCTGTTTACATGACCATTTGAATAATCAGATAACTACAGAAATCCGATTATGATCAGAGTATTGAGTGCATGTAAACGCAATCACTGTTTTTGAGCCCATTTCGGTTTTGAAACCCAATGTGAACCCAAAGTGAGGTTGTGAGAGTGGTCTCACAGCTGAGTAATGCAAAATGCATGTGTTCCTGAAAGAACTGAGATAATCTGTTTAGGTCAGTGCAACAAAATGCCTGGAAATGAGTTTGATTAAACACTTGAGTATATTATAGACGCTGACAGGTAGTGATTGTTGAGTGAGCTGTGTTGACTGGAGTGGTGGTCTTTACATATTTTAAAGGCTAAACGAAGTCCTTATAGCTACGGAGAGAGCTGCTTTCTCATTTGCTCCAATCAGCGAGAGACTAATGAGACTAATGACAGGTGGCTCTCATTGTTCTGAAGAGGCAGTTTAACTTGTTTCACTGATTAGATGTGATTTAGCCTTTGTGGCATAAACTGGACTTAAATCCATAATCAGTGATCTGCATTTCATAGAATATAGTCTGTCCAGATTTTTTTGAAGGTTTGAGATGTTTCAGCCCAACGGAACCACCACACCCCTTTATTCTGAAGTTTGAAAACAGTAAATACATGGTTGTAAGTTAAAGCCTTGGTGTTGCTGATGTTATCAGCTGTTAGTTCTTGCATTCTCTGCTATGATTTTTCAAAGGAAGCATGTCTACAACCAAATTCTTATGAATAAGATAAAATAAGATAAACATTTATTAGCTCCACAACAGGGGAAATTCATAGTGTTTGTTAAACAGTTAACAAACAAGGTAATTAACCTTGTTAATTATGTAACAAGGTTACAGTTTGATACTTATTACTGTATAGACAATATATATCTTACTAAAGATAAAGAAACTATGAAAATAAGAGGCCATCTCTTCTCTCATCTGTCCTCTTTGTTTTTCTAATATTTCTGATTTTGGTTTTAAGGCACCAGCAATTTAGGCTAAGCCATCTCCTTCAGTCCCTCACAGGGTAAAAAGGAAAAAGGGTAGCGCTGTTGCTGCACAGCAAGAAGGGCCTGGGTTCGATTCCCAGCTGGGCGACCAGGGTCCTTTCTGTGTGGAATGTGCTTGTTCTCCCCATGTCTGTGTGGGTTTCCTCCCATAGTCCAAAGACATGCACTCAGGCCAATTGGACACACTAAATTGCCCCTAGGTGTGATTGTGTGTGTGTGGATGTATATGTATGTCTATCTGTCTGCCGATGGACTGGCGACCTGTCCAGGGTGTTTCTTGCCTTCCGCCCAATGACCGCTGGGATAGGCTCCAGCACCCCTCCCCCACCCCCCAACGGGACCCAGTAGGATAAACGTTTTAGAACATGTGTGTGTGTGTGTGTGTGTGTGTATGGATGTAGTTGATTTTTTAACCACGGTTTGGTTCATACCTCTGTTTTTTTGTTTTTTGTTTTTTGGGTTTGGTGTTTTTAAGAAAAAATAGGGAAAAAATTCTGGGTTTCATTAAATCACTTTCAATATGGGACACTAAACAGAACACTAGTAATAATTTTAGAATAATTTAATAGAGTAATAATTGTGATTTACATGTGTTATAGTGTTGAATGTAAAAAGTAATGTGAGTTTTGTTACATTAGCAACATAATGAGAGCTTAACAGGCTGCAACAGTAGTGGTGGGAGCGGGATGGGTTTGGGGTGGGGTATCAAGGCGAGACTGTGGACGTTTGCATCACAGTTTCGCTCTCGGTTTCAGAATCATTACATCCCTGTAGTTTATTAGTTGTGAAATGAGCTTGACAATTTAACACATTTTCAGCTCACATTATTTATGTGATTTGTTTCCATTAAAATTAGAAT